CCCCTCAATGCAAGCACTGTTTAGAGAAAGATAGACTCTACCGTCCTCCCCTCCTGGGGTTGTCGGCACCCCCAGGGGCACGATAATCTACACACGAATATGACTCGTCCTTCATCTTCCATGCGAATCATACCGTGCCAACCAAGCCACTATCGTTCCCCCCCCCATCCCTGTCAAATCATAGCATGCGCACACTCGCTTTTATCAACGCATAATGTCTCAAAAAAACCTGGCAACAAACAAAAAAACAAACACACACACAAGCATATGTACCCACACACACACACACACTATCGAACGCGAGCGCACATGTCAAAAACATACAGGCACACATTGCGCTTGCACGACAAGTTTGGCAGATTGTGCGCCCGCGCGCACTCGCTAGAATCACGGGGAGTCATGTGATTTCAGCCATCTCGTCCAGAACCCGTGCTGTCATCTCACCACACCCTGCATCTGCGCTGACCCAACATGCGCCCAGTGCGAGAACATTCGTAACAAGCTATACCGGCGGGCCACACGCGCGCGCCGCCACGCGGCGCGCGTCGGAAACGGTCCAAAAGGATTGGTGTTTCGACGCATTCGAACACAGAGTTGCTGAGCAACCTCTGGAAGCATGTTCGCAAAAACAGCAAGTCTGCACGAGGTACTGGAGTTCTGCGCGCGTACTGCCCCACTATCACCGCGCACTGCCTCACCATTACCTTCAGCAACGTCATCGCGTCTCCACCGTTATCGTCCCCGTCAAATTTCGCCACTGTCGCCATCCATCAGTCAATCGCCGTCATCACCAACACATGGACATCATGATCGCCACCGTCGTCACCAGCATCGACGCCGTCATTGGCCTTGCCGCCGTCCTCGTCAGCGTCGCCACCACCATCGCTACGATAAACATGTTCGTCACCCACTACCGACGTCATCATTAAATCGCGCCCGCCCAAATCATGAACGCGCATGGAGCTGCCCTCCCGCCAGCGCGGCATCGGAGACGCACTGGGAAGTTGCCATCGGCAAGCGACGCGGCCGCATCAGCTGTGCCAAACCAGCTTGCCAGTTTGCGCGCGACCTCGCGCGCCCCAACGAGGCCGCAGAGATGCGCCGGCCAGCTCCAGGCAGTCATCGCAATCTCGGTCGCACGGGTTGTGCAAAACAAGTCGCGGGTGGGGGCGGGGACGATTGCGCAAGCAGTGGGATTGTCAACCCATAGGTTGGCAAAACTATTAATACCGCAACGATGGACATTCCTATATGTATCACACACCCTACCGAAGAAAGAGTATGTTATCGCCCCGTGCCCGGACGCATCCGCCACACATTTTGTCAGCAATGTCCATATGGTATTTGGTCACCGTTACTTTTCCATGCGAACTCATGCCTTCTCAGCCCGGCCAGTGCCGAATCCACAAGTCATGGTTCAAGGAAGCATACCTAATACATCTCGTGGTGCAAGCATATCATCATAAAAACCAAACCCATAGCCTTTGATCAAACAGATCGCAAAGGTTCTGCCCGCGCGCTTACTGAAATCAATAGGAAAAAACATGAGCTTCGTCATCCCGCCCAACACCCGCAGTCTTATCGCGCCACGCGGTGCATCCGCGCTGATCTAGCACGCGCCCAGCACACGCATCCGTGCCAAACAAGACGATGCGGGCCTCGCGCGCGCGCCGCCACGCGCGCGCGTCGAAATCTTTCCGAAACCGCTGGCTTTCAAAATATGTCAAAGCACGGACCTTGAGCTTTGAAGCCCGATAGCGCTTCAACATTCCAGTGCGCGCGCGCACGTCATCCTCACCTTCACCAGCGCCACCGCATCACCTCCATTATCGTCATCGTCAACATTCACCAGTGCCGCCACCATCAGTCAAGCACCTCCATTACCAACACATGGACATCACCATCGTCACCGTCGTCACCAGAAGCGACGCCATCTTTGGGTTTGCCACCGTCATCGACATCGTTGTCACTACCGCCGATACTACCGTCATCATTGTCACCGTTGCCGTCGTCATCATGATATCGCGCCTGCCCAGGTCACCGAACCGCACCGAAATGCCCGCGAGCAGCGCGGCCTTTGAGACGAGCTGCGAAGCTCCCATCGGTAAGCGCAATCGCGGCCGCATACCGTGTGCCAAACCAGCTGCGCGTGCGCGCGCCAGCGCGGCCGTAGAGACGCCCTAGCAGGAGCCAATCGGCACCTAACCGCAATCATGGCCACACGGGTTTTGCCAAACGAGTTCCGGGTGGAAGGGAGGGATGCTTGCGCGCGCGGTGGAGTGGACAACCCCTAAGTTCTTCATGACGAATTGCACCGCGTAGCTTGCACCAATTCCGCTCTCTGCTCGAACAAATACACAGGCGATCGGAGAGACCCTAAACAGAGAAACCGCACGGCGGTCAACATCGAAACTCGCGCGCGCATCATGACACGCGGGCGCAACACGACATGGCACGCGGGCACGGCACGGCACGGCAAGTAGTAGCGGTCGTTGTAATA